GGTGCTGGGGGTTAAACTGTGAGTCACAGAAAAGTTGAGTTCATCTACAACTCAGTCTTTGGTTTTCAGTTTGGGGGATCGTACCAGGCTTTTTTGGGGGGCCACTAACCATCTCCCAAATCAAGACACAGAGACTTATTAGTTACGGATGCATGGCCTTATCTTAGCTCTTATTTTAATCTGTTTCTCTTTACAGTTTTGCCTCGGGGCTTTTTACCTTTCTTTCTGTATCTCTGTCTGCCTGCTGGCAGCTGCCTGTCTGGCCCCGGGCATCTCCCGTTCTTTCTCCCTCGCTCTCTCCTCCTTCTCCTCCTCTTCTTCTGAGCTTCGATTTCTCCTCCTACTTATTCTCTCTGCCCACCAGCCCCATCTACTGCCCACCAGTCCCGTCTATTCTGTTCCTCCTCTTCCTAACTGTTGGCCATTCAGCTTTTTATTAGACCAACCAGGTGCCCTAGGCAGGAAAGTGAAACAGTAACACATCTTTTCATAATTAAACAAATGCAGCATAAACTAATGTAACCCCCCATTTACACAGTTAAATATTCCATAGCATAAACAAATGCAACACGTCTTTGCCCAGTTATAATAATATTACACAACAGTGAATGATCTGTCTTCCAAAACTCCCTCACAGGTTGGGTTTTGTGTATGTGTGTGTGTGTGGAGGGGGTGTGATTCTGTTTTTGGATAGAGGGAGCCAATGCCACAGGGCCCTATCCTTTTGTGAAACACTAGATCGGCGGCTCTCAACCTTCCTAATGCGATGGCCTTCTAAAACAGTTTCTCATGCTGTGGTGACCCCCTTCATCAGAAAATTATTTTTTGCTACTTCATAACTGTAATTGTGCTACTGTTATGAATCATAATGCAAATATTTGTGTTTTCCAATGGTCCTAGGTGACCCCTGTGAAAGGGTTGTTTGACTCTCCAAAGGGATCTCAACTCACAAGTTGAGAACCATTGGTCTAAAGTTAAGACCCTGAACTTAAAAAAAGTGAGTTTTTTTTTCAAGGGCAAATATATATAAACTGTGTCTGGTGCCCTGAATCTAAGATTTACCCAGTAATGATCTCCCAAAGGTGACAGTAGCAGAAAAATATGTGCTCTTAGTTCATTCATTTCTGTTGGGGTTTTCTCTGGCATCTGTGATCCATGGAAACAAACCATCTATGGGACAACAGGAGTGCTGTTTGCACCTGGCTTCATTTTGCACAAGATGCTTTGCGCAAGATGCTTTCCGACTAGTGAATCCCCACACCTACCCACAAGGGAACAGGAGTATGTTTCAACTGTTTATAACTGTGGGGAGGGAGCATTTTTCCAGAAACAGTGGGATGATGTCACAAAACTTGTTTCTGTTTATTTCAGGAATAAACACAGGTGAAAGGCATTGCTGTTTTTCCTTTTTTTATTAATTAATTTTTTATATTGCAATCCCAGTTCCCCTCCCTTCCTTTCCGTCCCCCCCCAACCTCCCATCTGCTCCTCTGAGAGGGTAAGGCCTCCCCTAGGAAGTCTACTAAGTCTGTCCATCATCTCACCGAGGCAGGACCAAGGCACCTCTCCACCCCCCACACCCGTGTCTAGACTGAGCAAGGTGTCTCTCCATATAGAATGGGCTCCGCTAAGTCAGTTTGTGCATTAGAGTTAGATCTTGGATGCACTGCCAGTGGCCTCATATATTGTCCCAGATGCACTATTGTCACCTGTATTAAGGGAGTCTAGTTTGGTTTTATGCCGATTCCCCATTTGTCAGACCAGAATCAGTTGATCTCTGACTAGCTCGGGTCAACAGATTCTGGAGGTTTCCCCATCATGGTCTTGACTCCTTTGTTCATAATTTTGCTCCTCCCTCACTTTGATTGTACTCCAGGAGCTTGGCCCAATGGTTAGTTATGGATTTTTGTATCTGCTTCCATCTGTTTCTGGAAGAGGGTTCTAGCTTCTCTGGGGTTGTGAACTACATGTCGGCTGGGTGTCTTTTGCTTTATGTCTGGTATCCACTTATGAGTGAGTACATACTATATTTGTCTTTCTGGGTCTGGGTTACTTCTCTCAGGATGGTGTTCTCTAGTTCTGTCCATTTGTCCGCAATTTTTAGGATATCATTGTTTCTTACTGCCGAGTAGCATTCCATTATGTAAATGTACCACATTTTCTCCATTCATTCTTCAGTTAAGGAGCATCTAGGTTGCTTCCAGGTTCTGGCTAATACGAATAATATTGCTACTAACATAGTTAAGCAAACATGCTTGTAGAGTGAATGTGGAAAGGCATTGTTTTTGTGCTCAGTTATGGTTTCAAAAATAGCATTAGTATTTCTTGAAATGTTCACAGAGAAGTTTCTGGATTCCTTCCTTGCATTTTCTTAGGGTTTCCTTATTTACTGAGCAATATTTTTATTGCTTTGTTTTGTGAGACTCATTGGGCACTGGATGTGCCTGTGCTTAGGGCACTCGTTCTTTCACTGGGAAGTCTTTGACTGAGTTTAATTCTAGGAGTACGACTATAGTAATTGCAGGTGACAAATTCTGTCATAGTGTAAGGCTGCCATGGTGCATGCCTTCCAGAGAGCTCACAAAGTACTGTTCCACAAAGTCTTTTGACTCTGAATGTACAGCTTTCACTTCTGTCTGAAACAATTTGATAGATAGCTTGGCTTGGGCTTGAGACATCTTGACACAAGCTCCTGGAAATTATATACAGAACTATAGGTATCATCCTGCAATAAACTCCAAGGCCAGGGCAGGTGTATTAAATTTACCTACAGCCTGTAGCTTCAAGAAAATGCTTTCAGGGATAGTCATAATAAAACTTGTCTATGGTTCTAAAAGAATATTATCTCTTAAGTGAAAATTAAAGCACGATTTGGGATTCTTAGCCAGTGACCCCTTAGAAGGGGCATTGAATTCTTTTCTCCCAGGCGCCCAGCAGTCTGTGCATTCCATGCATTCCACAGTGCTCTCTGCTATGGGTCCTCACATGCTTCCATGCCTTAGCTCATGTTTCCCTTCATGCATTGCAAGTCCCTGACTTTTCATCACATAACAGAAGGATTATCTCTGCCTGCTCAAATTTGCTCGTGCGTGCGTGCGTGCGTGCGTGTGCGTGCGTGCGTGCGTGTGCGTGCGTGCGTGCGTGCGTGCGTGTGTGTGTGTGTGTGTGTGTGTACAAATGAGACAGATATAAAGGTCTAGATAGATAGGTAGGTAGTATATAGCGAGATTGATTGTGTCCACTTGGTAAATAATAAAATACTAAAAATCTTTAAAAATGTCCCTTCTACTAATGTTTCCAGTGGAAATTGTTTGCTGACAGTGGGCATTGTACAAGTTTCTCGAATACTTCTGGTCCCAGCTGGCTGCCTCTGCACATCTGTGAATGCAGAGGTTTGGGGTTCACCCTGCACTGTGGATGACTTTAACCTGCTGTCCTCAGCAGAGAAATGGCACCTGTCCATCACTCAGCTTAAAGAAGCAGTGCACATCTCGGAAGAGGGACGGGATCTGGTGACTAAGGTTGGGGAATTGTGGGACAGTTCCTACAAAGTGTAGACTGCTGTCTTTGCACCTGAGTGAGCGCACTGAATAGCACGGGGTGGGGGTGGGGTGGGGGGATAGTACTGCCTGGTAACAGCTGAAGAAACTCAGTTTGACCCTGTTCTTTGTGCCCATTTGGTGTAAAACAGAGAGACAGCTTTGCTCAGCAGACTGGTTAGGTCAACATGGTGACCTTAACTCTTTAGCAGAAGTCACTGTATTTTGTGAGCAATTTTTTTTAAATGAGTAGAAGTACTTCAGTTTTTGTTTTTAAGATTGAGTAGGAATGTTCGTGCTAAAACGAATCTACTTCTTCATTCTATGAAATCTGTTTGATCCTATGTTAGCTTTTTGTTCTTGACAAAATGCTGGAGACAACTTGGGGGAGGGGCGTTATTTTGCCTCGCACTTTCTGAGATTTCAGCCCATGGGTAACTTGCTCCATTGTTGCCGGCTTGAGACAAAGTTGAAACACGATGCATGGTGGAGAAAACTGAAGCTGATTAGGGGGCAGAGAGGACTAGAGGCCAGTATGCCCTTCAAAAACGTGTCCCCCGACCCCTTCTTCCTGCATATGTCTCTACCATCTTCTAGTAATAAAATCAAAATGTGCCTGGATCAGTGAACTCTTCCTTGGTGAGGTCAGAATCCCCACAGTCCAGCCATTTTCCCAAAGCTCCACCAGCTACCAGCCAGGTGTTCAGATTTTATCCTCAAACCTTTCCTGAGATGGTCTGCTCTTTCAGACTTCCTTCCTTTTCTTTTAGTCTTCTCCCAGTTTGTTAATGATTTTCAAGTCTTGCCCAGGGCTCTGAACTTTGACCTTTGGGCCAAGTCTTTTCCTGAAGAGTCATCAAGTACTAGATTAGAAGCAGAATCTGATTGGTTAGAGAAGTTTTATTTTTATTCAATGAGTTTAAATATAGGAGGCTGTCCCCCCCAAAGGAGTGTGTGTGTGTGTGTGTGTGTGTGTCTGTCTGTCTGTCTGTCTGTCTGTCTGACTGTGTCCGTGTGTCCCCTCTGGTAGACTACCACTGAGTGAGTGGTGCTAGCTGGTCCTTAGGCAAAGGGATGGAGGATTCCTTGACCTGACTGAGAGTGTCCGTGCTCGAAAAAACTGATGGAAGCCACTTGGCTTTTCCCCCATGTCCCCCATGCCATACTCACGTGTAATCTGCACACAGCGTTACCCAGGAGCTAGTTAGAATGCTGTTTTGAATTTAGCATTTCAAGTTCCCTGAGGTGATTCTGTTACACACTGCCGTTTGAGAAGCACCTGTCCAATCACATATTCCAATTTGAGAAGGACTTGGCAATTCTCAAACCATAGAAGGTAAAGGTGGTCTAGGACTTTTAGCATCTATACACAAAACAAAACAACAACAAAAACATTGAACTTTATTTCTTCTTGACCGCCCCCTACCAACTCACTAATGAAATAGAATTTTTATTGTCATGTTAAACCGCTTTTATTTAAAGCCTTTTGTTTTAAGAGAAATTGAAGCATACAAAGATAGGAAGACCAATTCAGAGGTAAGCAGAGTTACTCTGAATCTCACTTTTCCCTGTGAGACTGTAGGTAGAAGACTTGACACTTCTGGGAGACAGGTTTTGTCTGACAGTCACATTTGCTGTGAAGCGCATCCCCGGAACGCTTTTCATCATGTGCTGATAACTCTAGCCATTAAGCAGCACTTCCCCCTTCCTAAAGTAAGCAGAACACCGATGTCAGGAAATACAGCTTTGACCAGGCCTGGTGGTGCACACTTTTAATCCCAGCACCCAGGATGCAGAGGCAGGCAGATCTCTGAGTTTGAGCTTAGCCTTGTCAACAGAGTGAGTTCCAGGTCAGCCAGCAATACACAGGGAGACCCTGCCCAGAAATAAAGTAACAGTGATTCATGAGCAAATGCTGCATTCCCCAGACTGGAGCTTAGCTTAAAGTAATCAAGGCACTGAGGTCATGAGTTCACACCTTCTCCCTGCTTGTCCTGTTGGTGCAGTGAAAAATCTGGAGAGCGTGGTGGCAGGGAGAGTACAGCACAGTGGAATTTCGGGTGAGGATTTTGTAATCTCCAGTCTCCTCCCTTCAGAGATAAGTCTGATTGGTCCAGCAGGAAGAGCACTATCTTACTAAATATGAAGCCAGAGTCACTTGTTTCTTAAAATTTGTGATTTACTGGGTCATTTCATGTGGCTGCTGACTGTGAGTGTTGAGTAAGATGGAGATATAACAGATGTACAGTCTCAGACAAGTTCAGAAAAGCATGTAGAGGATACTTAGCACCTGTGACAAAATCCACCTGATTAGACATCATCTACCTAATTAAAATGTAGTACCACTTGCCTATGAACACACACACAGTAAAAGTATGAGAAGGTACTGGAGAATGTGTCCTATACCTTTCAGGATAGGAACCACCTCTGTGAAGACAGGAGAGGGGAATAGAACAATTATTATACCTGTAGCTTTTACCCCCTCCCCCAATATGTGGAGGAAGGATGGTAAAATGTCCGGGTGAGCACAAGCTAGTGGGTGTGTACATGATATTTGTGACATCCTTTCTGCTATCTATGCGTGCTTGGAATACAAGAGAAATGCATTTAAGAAACTGGTTGCTTTCTTTTTTTATGTTTTGGTGTTGGGGTTAGAACTCAGGGTAGCGTATTGGCTAAACATATGAACTACCACTGGGTTTGCTATACCTTGACCTCTTTGTTTTTCCTTTCTGTTTTGAAAACCTGATAGAAATCAATTTGTGTGAGAATAGTTTATAAACTCAATTCTCAAAACTGTTAGTAAAATATCTTTTTTTTTAAGAGATAGAAAGAGAGAGGCAGATATAGTTTCACTATGTAGCCCTGGCTCTTCTGGAATTCACTATGTAGACCAGGCTGGGCCGGAACTTACAGAGATCCTCCTGCTTCTACCCCCCCCAGTAATGGGATCAAATGGGAAAGCCATCACACATAGTCAAGATGTGATTGAAAAAAAATGCTTCTGCCTCATCACAAAAATATGGAGACTACATATCAACATTATGAAAATAATCTAGCTGATGGGGTTCCTGGTTGAATTAAAGTCTAAAAAATAATTCTTGGAAGTGTGGGCATTGCCATAGTTTGAGCCAGGCTTCTCGTACTCTGCACACGACCTGGTACCCACACCACTGAAGATGGAGACACCGTTTTGAAGGCTTTTGGTGGTGGGCTGGTACGGGTTTCATCTGTATTGGAATTCATAGCTCTGCTGCTTCCCAGAAAGATTGGATGTGGCACTGTCCCAGCTTGCTGTGGCCTCGTGGCCTTTAAACATCTTAGACCGAATACCGCATTGCCATTTGTTCTGTCCCATCTCTAGACAATACCTCTTCTGAGCCATTTGAGGGGACCCAGATGTAGACAGATCTCTAATCGGGGGAGTCTAGGAACCCCAAGGAACTGTTGTCTCCTTAATTACCTTTCCCTTTAGGAAGTCCTTCCTTACTTCAGAGTCTGCCTGCTGTGCACGCCCAGGGGACTGATCAGTGTTCCTATTATAATAATCCATGCCTGGAGGGCGTGCTAAAGGTCACACATTTGATATTTTTTCATGTGAGTGGAATGGAGCCAATCACTGTGGACACTGTTTCTGGCAATGGGGAAGAAATGAGCTTTCAAACCAACGTGCATATACTGGGATGGGGAACAGAAATAGCGTTAAGCCATGGTGACAAAAATGATTAAATGTGTGTTCCAAGACCTTCAGTAATATGCCGTTGGTCCAGCATCAGGCCTCCTAGTTGTGGATGTTTTATTGTGAGCAGTGGAATGGAACCTGGAATGTGCAGACAGTCCCAAGGATGCTCTAGTCTGAACTGACCCTTGCTAGTATGATTTTATTTCTCACCCAAAACTGGTTCTTTCCCCTTAATCATATTTATTGCTCTTATCTCAACTCTCAAATATTTCTAATCTTCCAAAAACATATATAATTATCTTTTAAGGGTCTGGATTATGCCAGACATAGCCGGGGAATTGCTTCCTGGCTGTTACACGGTGCTAACTCTTTTTGAATCAGGTTTTATTTCTCAGGAATGGGAATGATACTCAGTTTTTCCTTATCTTCGTGATTCATATATTTATTCTCTCATTCAGATACTTCCCTGATGCTTACCAGCTTCCTCCCTTGTGGAGGCTGCCATGGTAGATGCTTTGAGGAAGGCAGAGTATGGGTAGGAAAAATGTGTGCATGCTCCTGTTGGGAGAGTCTTCATTCAGTCTCTGAATTATTTGACTTTTTAGAGGACAGAATAACAAACCCATGTCTTCCACTGTTTATCTCTACTTTCAATAATGACTATTTTTTCTTCTATACTTTAAAAACATAATTTATTTTTATTTTATTTGCATTGGTATTTTTCGGCCATGTATATCTGTGTGAGGGTATCAGACTTGTAGTTACAGATGGTTGTTAGCTGCCATATGGGTGCTGGGAATTGAATCCAGGTCCAATGGAAGAACAGTCAGTGCTCTTAACCACTGAGCCATCTCTCCAGTCCTATGTCCACTTTCAAGACTGTCATAGTTCACTGGAGCTGCATAGTAGTGTATAGTGACGAGGAAACAAGGGTTAACACAAAATGGTGGGAGAGCTGCAGAGTGGCTGCTGCTTTAAAAATAAACTGACTGCTTTAAAAATAAACAGTAGCTATGAATTGCAATGCAATGCAGTAGTGCAGTCTTCAGCTTATTTTCCATTTTATTTATTTCTTGCATAGGGTAATCTTATGTTTCTCAGACTGGTCTTGATCTCCTGGGACCAGGGCATCCTTTTCCCCCAGCCTTCCAAGTAGTTAGAACCATAGGCAGGTGCCACTGTATCCAGTCTTAAAACACAAGTTTAACAGCATGCATCGGCAGTACACTCTGACTTTGAAAGTCAAGGAGATATATCCCAAATATACTCTAGTTCTAAAGCCCCAAACCCCAATGACTTTGGATGTGGCTTTCACTGTGTGAAGTTTTGTCCCTGTGACTCTTAAGTGGCATTAACTCCCATCTAGGTCTTTAGCTATCACAGAGTCTCAGGTGTCCAGAAACCGACTAAGAAAGGGACCAAGTCTGTTAGGATTGTATGATTCCATCCACATTCACTGTTGCCTTCAGGCAACAGTCCACCACGGATGCAGGTTGTTCTTTAAAATACAGACAACAGGTTCCTCTGTTCCTTCAGGGAGATGCTTCTGAAGGGGATGGAGGATACCAGGTCGGGGGTGATCTCTGTCAAGTCAAGGGACTGCTCAGGAATCCTGTAACTTCGGAGCTGCAGTCTAGCATCCAGACAATGGGACTGTCATCGTATTTTCCAGAAAAATTTCATGTCTGTAATTTTAATCACTGACCCTACTGTTGCAGAGATAGACTTTCTTTTGAACACACTCTGAGGAACCACTTCTACACTCCTAGTTATGAACTGACCTGAAGACATCTTTTGAATCCCATGTACTTCGGTCTCTCATTATATCTGCATTGGCTTTTCTCATCTACAAAGTGCATGTTTATGTCCGTGTCTTTACTCACAAGAGGCTACAAGCTAGATTTATTTTTTTGCATTTTGTTTGTCAATATAATTTTTTAAAGTTACAAATGAAAAGTAAGTACATGTCAAAGATTTAACTCATTGACAGGAGACTGGTAGAAAAGAAAGTATTGAGTAGCCCATGTAGCACTAGGCACTGGAATGGGGCAGATGCAGGGCTACTTGATGTCCTTACAGGGCAATAAAACAACATCGAGGTCTCTTGTTTCTACCAGCCAGTAAAATCATGTTTACCTATAGTGAACACAGATCTCCAAGTTGACATGTAACTGCACACACCTACAGCATAAGCAGCTTTTGTTGAAACTCAAGTGATGCTCGGTGCGACTTCTACACTCTAGGACTCCAATCTGGTCTCGAAAGGGCATACTACCTTCCTTCTGTTTCAAGTGTTGTCCAATGCATTCTTACATCCCGTGTCCTTGGACTTAGCTTAGGAGTGTATGTATTCGTTCACTTGGCCCTTTGGTCTGTGTTGTGACAAGTGGCAAGGTAGGCACTAGAGATAGAGAGGTGTAGAGCACGGGGCCTTTGCTGTCAGAGTCCCGGGGCTGCTCCCTGGCGTCTTTCAGGGAGTCATGTAGGTAATTGTTCTTGACTCACAGTTCTTTTGGGTCCTATGTCTTGTAAAGCCAGGAGAACATGTAAATATCACACAGGATGACAGCCAGAACCCAGTCCTTTGGGGACAAGTATGGATGCTGGTTCTTTGTGTTTCCTTGTCTTCTGAAGTCCCCAGTGATAGTTTCACAGGGGGCGTTTGCAGTCCAGGCTGTAGCTGTAGGCTGGTGCTGGCATGCTCCCCTGGTGTCTGTACAGGACGGAGGACATGATCATTTCTGGTTTGATCAGTTTGCAGCATCATCACCGCCAGATTCTTTGTAAAGGCCTGACCAAGAGGCTGCATTTCCCTGGAAGCACTGGAAACTGGCAGAGCTCAGACTTCACGGCTGCCAGTGCCTCTATTCAGGGAATTTTGTATATTATTAGTTAATTTTAATTTCCTTATTTCCACAGTGGGGGTGCTGGCAGCTGGTAGTTTTGTTAGAAGTATAAAGTATTCAGGAGCCCCCCCCTCCCCACAGCTAACATGGGGAAACTGAGATACAGAGTACCCAGTAGTCAGCCTTTGCTGTATGGTGAGTTACTGGATCTAAGGTTTGTCTAGTCTTGGGTGTTTCTCGCCTCCATCTATGGCACAGACATGCCTATGTCTTTAGAAGTCTCCGTAAACGAGAAGAGCCTATATTTCCTTCCAATGTTTCTCTCCAATATGATAATCAATTTTCAAGTTATTTTAAGTACAAATGGAAATTTTTTCCTACTTATATTTGACCTATCGTAGCCTATTCTCAACAATAGATCTTTAAAATTTTAACTTTTTAATTATACATGAATGACAGGATATGCCCCTGGAATAAGTGGGTGACTGAGTGCACAGACGTGCCACCAGAGTTCCCTTGGCAGGAGGACTTGGTGACAGTACAGGTGGTGCACTGACTGACAGACAGATAGACAGACAGTCCTAGCTGTCAGCTCCCTTAGGGGAGGGGCCTGCTGCAGAATGCTGCTTGCCCTGGACCATCCCTTTTCAGGGAGACCCACAGGTAGAGACATCTGGTGTCAGTCAAGGTTGAGGCGTAAGACTTTTTTTTTTATTTTCTTCCTCCTCTTTGTGGGGGCTCCCCGAATAAACATCTCTAGCCCTAGGCTCAGCCTCCGCCTCTGTGCCTGGGAAACTGCCTTGCAACAGTGTATTTTGTATGTATTCTGACTGCAGCCCCTTGCTAGTGTAGCCTGGGGGTACTGATGGGATGTAGGTGCTTTGGGGTCTCCACGTTTCTTCTCCATTCTCTATTCTGGTGAAGGATTCGGCACGGGAAGAATTTGGCCGAGGGCCAGGTGTCAACACTGACTGCTCTGTGGATCTAAGAGGAAGTTTAAGTCTTTCTTGCTGTGGGTAGTCTTTGCAGGGAAAACCAGTTTTAATGGTTTATGACATTAATCAATTAAAGATTCACTTGCTTTGGGAGCCGCATCTCTGAACGCAGGAAGCACCTCAGGGTTGATGAGTTAGGAATTCTGTTTTTGCTTCCAACAGCCCTTTGTGAGGCTGCTTCAAACCCTTCACGTGATGACTGGCGTCCTTTTTGTGAGCTGCGCTTGGCACAGCTCTCTCCAGTCTGACTTTCTAGCAGAAATGATTGTGCTGCTGATGGACTAGACAGAGGCAAGAGATGGCGAGGGAGGCATGAAGGAAGGGAGGAAGGAAGGGAGGGAAGGAGGGAGGGAGGGAGGGAGGGAGGGAGGGAGAGAGGGAGGAAGGAAGGAAGGTCTTTCCATGGCCTCAGAGAGTTGTTTTCAACTCTGCTTGCTCAAATGCCTTCCATCTTGGGGAGGACTGAGAGCAACAGTGTGCCTTACCCCTCACCATCTGTTGGTCAAGGCTGTGGGTGCTGACCAGCTCTGGTGTTAGTGGCTTCATCATAGGGAGTGTCCCATATACTCTGTGTCCCAGAGGGGTGTGCCTGGGAAGGGAGCATTAGAACCTGCAGAGTATAGAACAAGATATAGAAATACTTGTAAGCAAAGAGAGACTCCTCTGCCCCCTACCCCCACCCCAACTCCCTGTGAATTGTTCACATCAGGTCCTTCAGGCTTTAGTCCTGAGAGGTCACCACACTGGAATTCAGTGACCTGGCTGGCCTGCAGGTAGAGAGCTGCTTCTTTTGCACCTCCGTCTTTTGGGGGAGAAGGGGGTTTGTTTGAGTTCTGCTGTTCAGCACAGTGTTCGCCACATGACCAGCATGAAACCTGCAATTGGGTTTTCACCAGGAGGTCCATAGACATAGCTCCTATAAACACAGGCGTTCAAAGCCCTTACTTAATGGAGGTTTGAAACACTGTGATAGATAAGTTTTTTTTTTTTTTTCTCCCTGAAAGAGCAGACTGGAGCAGAAGGTGTAGGTGAATTAATCTGTTCTATAGATGGCACCAGGCAAAGCCTTCATACCAAAGAAATTGGTAGGCTTTTTATTTTTTGTTCAATTTTCTCACTGAGGGGCAAGAGGCCTATAAAGGCGTTCGTCTGTGTCCATTTTGTAAATGACTTCGTCTTGCCACTGCATTTGCCTAAGGGAAGAGGAGCTAGAAGTAGACAATATACCACAGAGTCAAAAAGCCTTTTGAAATAATTTAGTTCATGGCCTTCATTCTGGGTGTTGGGAGGAACTAGAGGAAACTGCTTGAGGACTTTGTGTAGGGGCGGATCCCACCAAGCCCAAGACTTTGCCCAGGATTTCTGCTTTGTCAGAATTTCCCATGATGCATTGTTTGTTTCCAGCTGTGATGTGAAGGGTGTGTGTGTGCGCGTGAGTGTACATGCACATGCTCGTGTATGTGTGTGTTAGCTAGCTTTCTGTCATTGTGACCAAATGCCCAAAATAATCAACTTATAGGGCAGAAAACTTTATTATCACTCACAGGTCCAGAGTCATCAGAGTCCAGAGCCATTTGATTCTGTTGACTTGGGCCTTTGGCCATGCAATCCAGTGGGTAGGAACACATGGTGGGGAAGCCTGGTTCCCTCCTGGCATACAAGAAATAGAGTGAGACAGAAAGGGCTTGGGATTCTGATCGCCTCTCCAAGGCATGTCCCTATTGCTCACATGCCTTCTGCTAGGCCCCGTATCGTAAAGATTCCAGCAGTTTTCCATAGTGATACGAGTTTTACCACACTGGCCTTTGGGGGCATGTTCCATAATCCAGCTCATAACAGGTAGTAATTATCTATTTGGGAGTATCTTTCCCTTTCAAAGTTTTGGCAACAAGCATAAATTCCAGATCTTAGACATGGCAACTTCTGGAGAGAAAGAAATGCAAAACACCAGCATCAATCTAGTGTACTTGCTGCTGGATTGACCTGATCCTTCGCCCCCCCCCCCAAGTCTGAGTAGCTATGGTGTCCCTCGGTGGTTAGTTACTCTACTTTTTAATACAGACACATCTGCTAGGAGTTTGGGATAGATTTCTTGAGCAAACACTGAGTCACCACGATAGGTATTGTAACAGGTGCACACAGTATGTAGCCACACACACAGTGTGTATTTGAGAATTTACCAATGGGTTGCATAGACCATGGGAAATTGCCTGTGTGAAGTCTTGTGGGAAGGCAGTGAACCCCCGGTATGGATGGTCAGGGTCGTTTCATGGATGAGCTGGTCTTTGGAATGGGCAGAGCTTTGGGAAGAGGGAGTGGCATGAATTCCCTCAGATACCTCTGCTTCAGGTGTTACAGAGCATGTCCATGACCTTCTTCATGAAGGGCTGCTAGTTTGAAATGATTCTGATATTAGGATGACCAACAGATATATTTGCTTTGAAAGTTTATTCTATTTTTTTGGGGGGGGTGAAGATTATGACCTAGATAGTTACAGATGTTCCTTTACAGATGTTTATAGCCATCTGGAATGATTGGAAAGTAATCATGCTTGATGCAAAAGAATAGCTATGATTATCTATGGGGATTTATTCCATCTCCTAAGTTAGAAAACTAAGAAAATGTGTCTAGCAGAGGCTCATATGCAGTCTTCCTGGTCCTGGAAACACAGTTCCGTTATAGGTAGGGTCTTGAGTACCTAAGACCTTGCTTTTTACCCCTCCCCCTTTCTCTCTCTTCATTGTGTCATCCATAAACAAGTCCTGACCATTCATCATAGATGTTACTCTGGACCCTGGGAAGCAGTGAGGACTAACCTTTTCCCATCAGTTTGCACTCGGGAAAATAAATGCCAATCGCTGAGAGGTCTCAGAAGAGTTCTTCATTAGTGACAGAATTCCTGACAGAAGTGACTCAAGGGAGGAAGGACTGGAGAGGTTACAGCCATCATGGGGGAGGGGGAAGTCATGGCAACTGGAGTGTCCAGAGCCGGCAGCCACCACATCTGCCATCCCCGTAGAGCAGGAAGTGGAGGTGCTAGGCTATAAACAACCACCAAGGTCTCTCGTCATCGACTCCCCTCACTAGCCTTCTTCCCTAAGGTTCCCACAACTTCCCCAAACACCGTTCCTAGCTCAGGATCAAGTACTCACACTTGTGAGCATGCAGAGGACATTATACATCCAAACCATCTTAATCACTTCCTCCGGTTTTGGATCTTGGATCTTGAAGGAGAGAGAACTAGAGCCTGAAGGAGTTTGGTAGAGAATAGCCAGACCAAGGAAGGAGACTGAAAGAAAGGACACTCATTAGAAGACACGTTCAAAAGCCACGAGGCCCTGGAAGATGGTTTCCTGGGGTTCTTCAGTTTGACTAGGAAGTGAGACAGAGGAACAGGAAGCGAGAGCCTTGTGGGGTATGGGCCAGCACCCTGATATTGTCTGCGTAAAGGTGTAAGCAGATGACACACGTCTTTGGGAGACTACCGTGGCTGTGGTTGGAAATAGTGTGAGACGGGGTAGGCATCAATGCTTCAGGAAAGAGACAGCAAGAACCTGCAGTTATGGAGAAAATGGAACAGATCCAGGCGAGCAGTAGAAGAAAAAATGAGCAGAGCTGATGTTTGATGTGGAGGTGAAGGAGAAGCAGGGAGTCGGAATGGTAGCCTGGTTTCTCTTGGGCCCCAGAGCACATGGTGGGCCTGTCCTCAGAAGAGGAGTTCGATTATCAAGGAACACGTCTCAGGAGGCGAGGGTGGTGTTGAGCTGGCAGTTCCTGGGGAACACCAGGGAGTGATACCAACCGCACACCTTTCCCGTGGACTGATTGTCACTAGAGGTAGAGAACATCACACATCAGAACGCTAGGGACTTGTGATTTGACAGGGACCTGTAGTTTTTCCTGTGAGGGAGAGGGAAGCAGGGAGTTGAGCAGCTTGCCTAGGGGAACACACCCTAAACTGGTAGACTAGGACTGGATCTCATGTCACCAGCCTTCTCGTTAGGCTTAGTGGCCTATTGTTGGCTTAGTGGCCCCTGGAAACACGTTAGACATAGACTGTGTAGCCACAAGTCCTTCTGGGGTAGAATTGCTGACAGTCAGAATGCAGACCATAAATCCGTGTGGGGCTGTGCCCCATTTGCATCTCATTTGGTTCCATCTGCCCCATTTTCACATGATTATGGCAACTTTGTTAGGCAAGTGGTTGCTTAACTCAGTGGAAAGTCTTAATTACTCTTTAATAGCTATGTACAGAGGGAAAGTCGGCTTTAATGTTTAATCATTTGGTTGTCTCTTGAAGTTATTTTAGTATTCTATTTGTGTATCCATAAAGTATATGAATGTATATTTGTTACATTTCCATTTTCATTCCAGATTTTAGTGAAACAAAAATATTTTCTTTTTTATGTATTATTGCTATATAAACAGCAAACTTAATGAAAAATTAAAAATTTACAATCCACCTACAGTTTTTCTATAACAACAACAACAGAAGTTCAAGCTTTAGATACTTCCAATCCTTTCTTGATACATCCATATGGTAATTCTAATTTGCGTTCTTTTATAAAAAGATTTATTTATTTTTATTTAATCTATATGGTGGTGTTGTTACATGTATGGTTGTGTACCATTGTGCATGCAGTGCCTGCAGGGTCCAAAAGAGGGCGTCAGATACTCTGGAACTGGACTAAAAGCCCATTGTGATCTGCCATATGGGTGCTGGGAATGGAACCCAGGTTTTCCGGAAGAGCATTCAGTGCTCTTATTGCTGAGCCATCTCTTCAGCTCTGGCATTTTCTCTATTTTTGTTTTTCTTTCATTAAATATTGTCTGTATGTCCATCCATCCATCCATCCACTGACCCACTCACCTACCCACCCATCCATCTGTCTATGCATTTTTAGGCATCTGGGTATCTTCTGAATGCTAAGTACTATGAAGCTGGGCTTCACAGATTAGAGGAATAGGTGCTGGGGTAGATAGGCATTGCACCGTGGCCATTCTTTGTAAATTGTCCCTATGTAAAACCCTCCTCCAATGTGGTGATTTATTTAGTGAAAGAAAAACAAAAATAGAGGGAATGCAATGGCTGGAGAGATGACCACACTACACAGAAAGTGCCAGCATGTTATCTCCCCATCCCAGAGACTGGCAGGTACCCAACAAAGCCAGAGGAGGATGAGGTTTGGGATACTCTGGACATAATTAAAGAGGTTGGTGGGGAAACATCAGCTTCAGTGACTGTGAAGATAGGGTGTCAGGAGAATTTTATGTTGCCCCCCCCCAACCACCAACCCAACTAGAAGCCAGCAGTTGAGTCTTCGGATGTCACCCGTAAGATTCTGCTGTTAGGTTTCCAATTAGTAACGACTCTCTCTAACCTTCCATGAGAGTTTAGTAGTCTTCCTTCCTAACAGATAGTTTTGTCTCTAATATGTCAGTTGTCTGTTGCCATGGTTCCCAGGATCATTAACTTAAAATGATCTAAACTCGGTGGAAGTCAGGACTGGAACTCTGGGCAGGAATGTGGAGAAACTCAGAGACCCTGGAAGAATGCCGCTTACCAGCTTGCTCCTCATGGCTCACTCAGCTTCCCTTCTTCTAGAACCTGCCCAGGGATGATAGTACTATCCACAGTGGGCTAGGCCTTTTCCCATCAGACTTGCCTACAGGCTAGTTTGATGGAGGCAGTTTTCACAGTTGATGTTTCTTCTTCCCATATGACCTTAGCTTGTGTCAAGTTGACAAAAAAATTAACCAGCACTGTGTTTTATATCATCGCTGCTATGTTGGGAAGGCACTGTCTCAGCATTGAAGAGGAGAGAGCCTTCTGCTTCCAGAGGGCAAAGGTCACAAAAGATGAGGGTAGAGGAGGGCTGATAGGGCTAGCCAACTGTCAAGAGAGACTTCAAATGTTACCTGATAACTTCTGCTGTAAAGTTCCTGATTAGTCATGAGTCTCTCTAGCTTCCATGAGAGTTTGGTGGCTTTCCTAGTGGATGGTTTTGCCTCCAGTATGTCAGTTGTCTGTTGCCATGGTTCCCATGATCATTAACTGAAAATGGTCTGCAGCTGCATGAGTAGTCCCAGCACTCAGGAGGTTAAGGCTACGCAGAGAGGCCTTTTCTTTCACATCAGCAACAAAACGCCTCCAAGTCTGAAAAAATAAAGAAGTGTGTGTGTGTGTGTGTGTGTGTGTGTGTGTGTGTGAGAGAGAGAGAGAGAGAGAGAGAGAGAGAGAGAGAGAGAGAGAGAGAGAGAGAGGTATCGTGATATCGTGATCGTATACCTCCTGGGTGCGTACCCTGTGAGGTATACTCTAGAAGCTGGAGTCAGATCCCCTTGCACTGGGGTCACTGGCAGTTATGAGCTGCCCCATAGGAGTCCTGAGAACTGAAATCCAATCATCTGCAGAAGGAACAAGCACTCTCAACCAAGGAGCCAATCCTGCAGCCCCAACATAGTACCCAGTCTCTGAGGATGACTTTGCCTTTGCTCACCGCTCTACCTCACTCAGTCTCTACCTTTCATGTCCCCTGTTCTGGATTCCTCTGTGTTCCCTTAGCCTGACTTGTCTTACACTTAGTTTTGTTTCTTTGAGACAGGGTTTCTTGTAGTAGCTTAGGCTGCCATGAAGCTGGTAGTAGCTGAGAAGATGACCTTGAACTAATCTTCCTGTCTTACTCAGGAGTTTGCACCTTGAACACACTAAACTGTCTTTGCCTCTTCTGTCTTTTTCCTGAGATCTGCTTCCCTGGCCCCATGGGTAAGGCTGGGGTTTCTTCCTGTAGTTCTGATGTCTGTGTCTGATAGTCGTTTGTTATTAGGAATGCTAGTCATTTTTCATAGAAGGTAATCCCTGGGTACGTTCTTGTTTCCTTCTGTATCTCAGCACCTTGCACAGTGCCTGGCATATGGCTTATGCTTAGGGGAGACATTGAAAGCTGAGATACGTGCTTTACAGTGTAAAGGACCTCAGAAACGGAGAAAGACCTGGAACTGACTTGTGAAGCAACCTTGTTTCTAATTTAGATTTAAATTTAAAAATAAATAATAAAAAAAGAAAAAAATTATTTTTCATTTTGTGTATAAGTGTTTTGCCTGTATGCATGTCTGTATACTACATGCCTGCCTGTCACTCTTAGAGGGCAGAAGCAGATTGGATCCGCTGGAACTGGAGTTACAGACAACGTGAGCTGCCATGTGGGACAGGGATTCGACCCTAAGTGCTCTGGAAGAGCAGCAAGAACTCTTAAGCCACTGAACTGTCTTTCCAGCCCCAAAGTTTTCATTTTTAGCTATTGCAGTAATTATTCTCAAATGTTAAGTAAACCATCATTTTAAAGTGCGTTTATGTTCAAAATATTTGTAGCTTTCCATGCTGGGGCATTGTCATCATGGGTAGAAGGTGGGTTGCTGTAGAAGTGATGGACTCAGCCCCTGCCTTCAAAGACAGTCCCACATGTGGAGCTGAGAGTTTTGTGTCTCTGAACAGTTACAGTCCTGAGTCTGAAGGTGTGATTTATTTGTGGATGACTGTTAGTAACTGTTAGCTGCCTTTCTGATGAACTGCTGGACCCTTGCTAACATACAGGAAGGCCACAGGTTCTGTAATGCACAGGCTCTCCCTAGCATAGCTCACGCCAGCAGGTGGTGTACAGTGTTGAGCTGGTGCCCAAAGAGTGGGGTTTCTCTCTTTAATGCCAGGGTCATTGTTGCTTTGGTCAGTGCAGGCTTTAATAGGCTTGCTTAAGGCCTGTGTTGCAGGCACCTACTCTTCCTGTGAATCTAGACACAACTTCAGGTTCAAGGCTGAATCAGGCTCCTAGCACGGGAAGACTATTGAGAGTGTAGGCAGCTGGTGCTTTCCACCCAGAGTGTTGTGTGTGCCGGGCAAGCACTGTGCTGCTGAACTATACACATAGCCCTTTACTCTCCTGTGGCCCAATCAGGAATCCCAACACTGATAGCACCTGGTAGGCTCAGCCTTCTATTAGGGGGCTCTGAGTAGTTGTGCGTAGAGTCCATTCTAAGGATCTAGAAGATAGGGTTGCTAGTGCTTCAGATCTGAGCTGGGGGCAACTCCCAAGTTGTGGACCACACTGCCTTCCGCTCCTCCAGCACCCAGACCGGACTCATTTTTCACTCACATTTCATCCTGAAATGTGCCGTATGTGTTTCCACAGTGAGACTGCGGCCTGTGCCGTCGATTGGTGTTTTATTTCACGGATAGAGTTTCAGTTAGTGGCATTGTTCTCACATGCATTTATGTCATTGGCTCCATCGAGTCACGTGATGCTTGGGTGACAGTTTGCTTATCTATCCCTCAGTGCCACCCGGCTGCATCAGCTTTTTCCTGTGTTTCCTGTGGCAGGGGACAGCGTGAGGGAGGTGCACTGACAAGTCTCACGTGTGCTGGAACCCTTCCTTCTCTAGACACAGCACACACCAGCCTTTCATCTTAAAGACGGAACGTCAGGCCTTAACGTATTTTCACATTGTGTCTACAGCCCTCTCCCATGATTTCTTTTCTTTTCTTTTCTTTTCTTTTCTTTTCTTTTCTTTTCTTTTCTTTTCTTTTCTTTCCTTTCCTTTTCTGCAGATGATCAGCTCATTAGGAATAGGAAAAAACAAACAAGGACTCCTGATAACTCCTTGCCATTACCTGGCGATTAGTTTGAGCAGCAGCGCTTTTCTAGAAAACCCAGCACAAACAACATGAGCGTGTGGGTCTGTACCACTGAAATTTCGTGGGTAGAACCAGGTTGTTCAGACAAGGCAGGTGAGGCCCTGGTCCTCACTTTCCATCCTTTCCTGGTTTTGTCCTCCATTTTCAGAGGTTTTCTTTGTCCGCTCCAGCTGCCTCTTGCCTGCTTCGAGTCCAGAGGAGAGGTAGATCCCGAAGAACTCAGCAGTGAAACTGTGTGTCCAGCCCGACTAACTTCAGAACTCAGCTGCCCCAGTGAGGATGGATTAAGAGGTGGAGAGCCACAGGGAGGCAGGAGATCACAGAATGAGAGTTGTTGGGGCTAGAAGGGAGTGATGCTCAGTGACAGAATCCCCGAGACCAAGGAGGAATGTCCTGCACACTTTCATAGAGGTCCCAGACTATGGTCACATGTCCCCATTGCTCTGGGCAGCATCGTGGGACGAGCACATGGTGGGAGGAAGGTCATGGCAGCTTGGAGGTGCACAGAAGTAGAGACAGATGTGAAGGGAGACAGGGAGGAGGGGGCTAGCATCTGGGATTCTGAGAGCTCTTCCAGGGAGAAGCATGCTCTGATGACCCTCCTTCTCTCCACCTCCAGGACCAAACTGTCAACACATAAGGCTTTGGCCTGTTTACGGCTGAAATAATAACAGAGGCCTTACTCAAGTCCCAGTGAAGTTAATGCATAAAAACGGGCTCACTCCCTAGTGATTCCGTGGGTCAGGCATTCATCCAGACGCAGGGATGGATGACCCGTAATTACTCTCTTCTGGTGGGACTGGCCAGACACCTCTGTCTCCCAGGGTTCCAGTCACCTTCCTTCCCACCCTTGCTTAGACCTCTCTTACAGCATAGCAGCCTAATTCAGAATTTCTATATCCAGCATCTGGGTTCTCCGAGAGGTAAAAAGAATCTGCCAGTTTCTTGAGTCTGGAGCCTGGGAACCAGCCAAGCGACACCCTCAGGCAGTCACAGAGCCTACTCTGGTCCCAGAACACAGAGAACTTACTCTCTCAGAGAATGTATAGCCACCTGTGATCTGCCACAGTAACCTGGTCATCAGGGTTCATGTTCATGGATTAGAACCTAACCAAAGCCCTCCTGCTAGAGCAGTCATTGGCCCAGTGTTTTGGAGTCCCCCTCCCACCCCCCTTTCAGGAATAAAATGAAAACAACAGCACCCAATCATCCAGAGTTCCTGTCTTTCCTCCTTTGGTGGCCTCCTCCCTTCCCTCTTTAAAGTATCTCTGGATCCCTGAGCCTCTGTTCCCTACCCTGAGCCCCACCCCAGCGTCCGGATGAGCCAGGGTGAATCTGTTTGCTCAGATCAGTAAGATATTGACAAAATGCTCCTGTCTGCTTGGAGGGGGGGCTGTTGTGCAGCTGCCTCAGCCTAGTGGGGCATCGCAGGGTTCCCCAGGAGCAGAGAGAGAGAGACCGTTCCCTTTTCGAGCATCTGTACTCGGGGAAAGGCCAAGATCTGCTGTCCCTTGCTGGAACTGTCTGTCTTCTCTTACCCCATGCTCCTTCCACTGGTCAGGGGGCCATGGCTGAAAGCCAGTCATTTTATATGCAGTATTTTCTGTGTTTATTACCTTCCTGCAACCTGAGGCTTCTGGCCATCTGTGTACATGCATGACGGGAGGGAGAGAGGAGGGAAGCAGTCCTCTTCGTTTCCTCTCCCTTCCGAGAGGAAGGGGAATGGGCAGCATTTTTCACGTGGGGCTTGATGTCTGTTTCTGAGTGTCTGAGGCAGGAGGTAAGAGGTATTCTGAGAGCCCAGCCATGCAGCAGGCCAATTAACTCTTCCAGAGATAACAGCTCTCTCCTCTCCCCGAGTTACCCAATGCCTGACATGAGAACAGATTGTTTTTCTAGCCTGTGTTTCACGTGACCATGCCTCAAAAAACAAGCAGTCTTCCCGGACAGGCAAAACAATTTAGTTAATCGAGAATTCATTGACGGCCTGGCCACCTGGAAAAAAGAAATTACTCTATAATTTAGAGTTAAATGTGTGAGTGTGTGCCTGTGTGTGCACGCATGCCAACAAGCGCTGTGCTTTTACCATGGATCTGGCAAAAGGGATCAGTCAGGAGCCAGGTTCAGGGGAGAGATTTATATTCCTTTATTGTTTGCATCAATTCTCTCCTTAATTGGAGAAAGAGGGTTATTGTTTTTTTTTAAGTTCTAGCAAATTGAACAGACTGCCAATAATGTTTTCAGTTTTTAAAAAGTATTTATTTTTAGTTATGTGTATTTGTGTATGCCTGTATTTCTCTGGGCACCACACTAACGCGGGTGCCTGTGGAGGCCAAGAGAGGGCGCCAGATGCCCTGGAACTGGAGTTACAGATGTGAGCTGCCTGGTGTGGGTGCTGGGAACTGAACCATGGTCCTCTGCAACAGCAACAAGAGCTCCTAACCACTGAGCCATCTCTTCAGCCCCTGTTTTTAGTAGAAGGTGGTTCTTGCTTATACTTGTACATTGCAGTTTTAATATATGTACTTAAAGTTTGCCATTTGGGTTTAGAGGGATGACTAATGTCGAAGAGCACTTGTTGCACTTTCAGAGGACCCAGGTTCAATTCCCAGCACCCACATGGTGTCTCTAAACAGTCTAATATTAGCTCTACAGCATGTGCTCTTCTGGCATCTCTGGGCACCAGGCATGAATGTGGTGCCTAGATATACATGCAGGTAAAACACCCATTTAAAAATAATAATCTAAAAATTGAAAAAGAGTTTGAAGTTGCCTTATTTGGATACAGGGTCATGCTATGTGTGTAGCCTAGGCTACTATGACCTCATGCCCCTTGTACCTTGCTCTCCCTTGCTGTAATAAAAACATTCGCTACCATACTTGGTTCCTCAGTTGCTTTTGGTTTTAAGATTTATTTTTAATTGTGTGTGTGCATAACTATGTGTGCAACTCTGTGTTTGTGACTGTGTATGTGTGTGTAACTGTGTGTACGACTGTGTGACTGTGTGTGGTTATGTGACCATGAGTACAGGATTCTGAAAAGGCCAGAAGAAGGCATCAGATTCCCTGGAACCTGAGTTACAGATGGTTGTGAGCCACCCAGTGTAGGTGCTGGGAACTCAACTGGGGTTTAAGAGCAGCAGGGGCTCTTAAATTGCTGTGCATTTTCTCAGCTTGCTGTTTGCTCTCCTTCCTTCCTTCCTTCCTTCCTTCCTTCCTTCCTTCCTTCCTTCCTTCCTTCCTTCCTTCCTTCCTTCCTTTTTCTTCCCTTCCCCTCTCCCTTCTTTTCTTCTCTCTCTCTCTTACTCTCTCTTTCATTTTCTTTAAAAAAGGTTTGTTTATTTATGTCGTATGTATATGTACCTGCATGACTTTACACTCAGGTGACTGCTGATCAAGGCATGGGATCCTCTGAAACCGGAGTTACGGTGGTTTTGAGCCATCAGGGCCTCTGTAGCAGGCCGAGAGCCATTCTGTAGCAGGCTAAGAGCCACCTCTGTAGCTGCTGCAGTTGCTTTTTAAATTTGAGTATTTGGGAAAAGTTCTGAGCTTCAGACATAAACAGTTAACTTACTTATGATATTTGAGGAAAACTCCTCTGGTACCCAAGGGTCAGGCTCCAAATTGATCTCATCACTATTCATACCAGTAACTTCTTAAAGGTGCCAGACTTAGACAGCCATACATTAAGTCAAGAGGAACAGTAGGGCGGCTAGAAGGATGGGGTGGGTGTGGTGGAGAACAGACTCCCAGGCCACATTTGCTCTCTGAGCTCCATCACACCCATGTTTACCTCCAGCTTCTCACTTGGTCCTGACATCAGGGGAATCCAGTGCACGGGACACAGTCGTCTTAGTCCTTCACAAGGTGCTCCTTAGGGACAGGTAGGCAGGTAGCTCCTGCTCTTTCTTTTTCTCCGTCCATTGAAACCTTCACCCTTGGAACAGGGATGCTTTTTATTAACTTCTGTGGAACATTTTCCTGGAATGTGTTTCACTAGAAACTCCAGAACTCTGAATGGAGGGCATTCCGAGGGAACCTTGAAACCTCTTGGTCAGCCCCCTTGGCACTCACTGCTCAGCTGCCTCAGTTGCTATGGGAATGAAAGCTGGTGACATGAGAGAGTGCCCGGGAAGGCCTGTGATCTCCACAGGGTAGAGGCTATATAATGACATTTTAAGAACTCCCAGGGCTGCCAAGTATCACACTGGGGGTTGGGGTGAGGAGGTTAGACAATAGACATTTAGATCTCACAGTTCTGGGGGCTGAGAGTCAAGGTCAGGGCACCAGAGATTTAGTGTCGGGTGAAGGCCCATTTCCTGGTTCAATAGTGACCATTTTTGCTGTGTTCTTTCATGCCTTAAGGGACTGGGGGACTCTCTGACTCTCTTCTTCAGGCGCTAATCATTCCATGAAGGCTCTACTCTTGTGACCTTGTCATCTTACTGAGACTCCTAATAGAGTCACCATTAGGCTTAAAATTTTAAACCAGAACTTTTTGGTGGAAGGGGGTGGAGAGGGTTAGGGCTTGGATGCACCTTGTTGCTGGACACCACTCAACTGCTGAACCATCTTGAATCTGGGCTCCTTAACTCTTCGGTCTTTCCTCCAAGTGGCTACTTCATCTTTGAGAAGCATCACTAGGGTGCTTCTAGACAACAGGTTTGGGAAAATTTTTAAAGAATTAAAAACAAAAGTCTTGTACTGTATTGTGTAACACTTGGGTCTGGAAATTTGACAAGGGTGTCCAGGGTCTGAAGAAAGGGCGAATACATGTGAAGAAACCCTGGGGTTGGGTGGGTTCAGCGCACTCTGGTGGATGGCACCAACTGTGTGGCGACCCAGTCTGATATGGAGTTGGACTGTGGCTCTCTCCTTCTCTAAATCCAAGCATGTTGTTAAAAGAAGAATTCAGAGTTTCTGTCTCATACCAACCCAGAACCTCAGCAAGTTTATTATGTGTAGTGCAGGGAGGAGTTGGCTAGCCTCTGTAGGCAGCAGTCTCAGGCTGTAAACATCTGGGAAGAGGAAGCTGAAGTTGCTAGTTTTTGCATACACAGATCAATCATTTTTAAACACTTGTACCCGCTATCAATATTTGCACTTGGACCAGAGGAAGGTTTTGAGAATTCCAAGCCAGATTCAAGTGGGGGATGCTTTACCAATTTCCCGTGAGTTCGGGGCCTTGGTCTTTGACCTGGCCAGCTAATACCAAACAATACACATTCACTTAGGACTTCATATGCTGCCTACAATCTTAGACTTAAGTCTCCTGCTGTTTCCATCACTTCAGTTAGCACGAATATGAAATAACAGTCTTATTCCTTTGAAGGGGAGGGGAGGGAGCTGCATGTTTCAGAAGATGCCACTTCCAGCTTTCTTGCTGGATTTCTAGGTCACCTGAGTATGGCTTCCCCAAGCCCAGGAACTTCTGGTCTGCTTACAACTTGGTACAAAACCTCATTTTGCAAAATAAGGTTAACAGGTACATGGATGTATAGCCCTGAAGTAGAATGTCCATATGATGTTTGCTAAGATACATTTCTGTATCTTACTTAGCTGAGGGAAGTCAACTGATTTGCTCAAGTGTCTTCTGTGTGCCCACTCAAATAGGAACTACATTCAGCCTTTGGCGGCCGCCCCAATGCTCTTTTCTCTGCACCATTTAGCACTTTAGAAACCATTAGCTTCTGCCATTTATTTACCAGTCTGCTTTTGTTAACAGAATAAAGGGAGAGAAAGAAATAGAATTGGCATTTTCAGACTTGCTCACTAGAATATTGATTGAGTCCCTCTGTCATGTCTGTGGGTTTATCTCAGATGTGTCTGGGTTGCCTGGGAGACTCTGCCGCCCTCCAACAGAGGGACATGAGTGGATAGATTGCCCTATCCATTCCTTTCTCCCCAAACTTGGTAGTGTCTCCCCACTTCTGCCGGGTGGTGCTTTCTGAGCTGGCTTCTGGGCAGGCTGGCACCATAGCTGTGCACAGTCAGCAACTGCCTGTGTGCTGAAACCATGTTATCTGCATTTAATACGCCATGTGGACTGTATTTTCCCTCAATTTCTGTGAACTGGAGAGGCACCCCGTGCCCGTGTTCCTAAATTGTCACAACCAATAACCTCGGGCCTTTATTTGTTATGCATAGTAATGACTTTTCTCTTTTCGAAATGTATTTGTTTCCTGTATCAGTCTTTACAATATTAAAAAAATTAAATAAAATGACTTTAAGAAAAAGAAAAGCCTTCTACATCAGAGTGAGTTTTTGTTCAGAGGTTGGTAGCATGTCTGAACCTGAGGTGGAAAATACTGGTTTGCTGTGCTGGAGAGCCCCGCTGCCCTTCCAGGGCGTGTCAAGGCAGAGTCCAGAGTGAAGAGAGAGGCAGAGTTTTGGCTCGTAGAACCCTGTGCTGTGGGAGGACCAGCTTGGGAGGACCAGCTCCATTCATTGGCTTCCAGGAATCCATCCAGCCTCTAGCAGAGTTGCTTGCTCTCGGGCCTTGTGTAGATGAGGGGATCCCCAGCTTGCCTCTTCAGAATCTGTGATGGTCCTCCACCCCCACCTGTGCAGTCCAAGGTCTACAGAACCTGCCAGAAGTTTTAGGCTCTGTTCTGCATTTTCTGCTTTAGTCTCATTTAAACACCTTTTTGCAAGCCCCTAATTTTTTTTTTCACATTGTCCCCTCCTTCTTTGATGTCTCATTCTGGCCCCGCCTCTCATCTGTATCTGTTTTTCTTGAATACCATCCATTCGTGTAAGGACAAATGCCTTCTTGAAACTTTCTCTCCTTTCCCTTCTATTCATTCTTGTCGCCAACCTTTTTTCTCCAGTTCCTGATGTGCCTGGGGTTGTGCTTGGGCCTGTGATCACTATGCGTGGTCCTCCCATTCTACTGGGAGAAGGTGTGTGTGTGTGTGTGTGTGTGTGTGTGTGTGTGTGTGTGTGTGTACATGCAGAACGTCAGATGGTAGATCAGGGAACATGTTGTAACTTGAAACAGTCTGGCCCAGGAGGAGGCTGGCTTGTATTTTTTTTCTCAGTGTTTAATTTGTATTTGGGGAGTGAATTTTGCTGTCCAGCCTTGTTTTATTGCTATTCCCAGTGAGATGAAACTAGATTTATTCTGAATTGTATATTGATGTTGCTCAAGGATTGATCCAGGATCCCTCTGGGATCTTCATGTTCTTTGGGGTGATGGTGCTGGATCTGCTGACATGCTTTGTTTGAGGAGATTGTGAGTCCTCAGCACTCTCCATGTGTTTAACTTGACCTTAAATAAGGGGTTTTATGAATGACTCCAGAAGGCTCTCCCTGCTGTGACAGCTCCCTGTGTGTTCTAGTCTCCCCACCTCAGGTAGGAAGTCTGTTCCGATCATTCCAGTTCACAGATGGCTCCTCTGTCTGGACTTGGGCTCCATACACTATAAATAGCAAATCCAGGTGTATGGTTTTCTGCACCAGGCATCCCGAGAGAAAATCTCCAAGCGGATTGTCAGCAACAGGCCTGGGAACCTCCTTTTGCCTTGATAAGTTACAGTTGACGACTGTTTAGGGCTAATTGACTCGTAACGACATCCTTGTCTGTCTCCAGCGTTTGCCTAGTGCCTAGAATACAAGATAGGTTGTATGTTCGTTGGTGGAACTCCTGGGGAGAAGACAGTGGATTCTGACCTCTGGAGGCTCCTTGGGTGTTGCAGGCATGGTCTGATTAGTGAGTGCTTTGTTTGTATGTGGTGTTAATCTTCAGACACCCCCAGGACTGACATAGGACTTACAACACTCAGTTTGGTTGGTACCCTTAAGGTGGGAAGCTGTAACTTGGAGAAGAGCTATGTGGTTGAGAACATTACCATGGGGTTGGTGCCCTGGGGCTGGCTTCAGTGTCCTAAAGTGCCAGAGAAGGCTCTTCTCCTTTACCTCCTTTCTGTGGGGAGTTCATCTGTGTCTCAGCAGCTCCCAAATAACCATTCAGAGACTTATTATTAGTTGTCAATGCTCCGCCAATAGCTTAGGCTCATTACTAGCTAACTTTTACGTTCTCAATTAACCCGTATTTCTTATTTACCTTCTGCCATGTGACTGTACTTCTTTCAACATGGCACATTCATCTTGCCTCTTTCTGAATCTCTGCAACTCCTGAGACTCGGTCCTCCTTCCTCTCATCATCCTCTGTCTAGCTGTTCTACCTGTACCTCCTCCCAGGCCACTCTTTTATTAAACCAATCAGAAGGCACCTTGGCAAAGATACATCTTCAAGGTGAACAAAAGATTATTCCATTACACCGTGTGTGTGTGTGTGTGTGTGTGTGTGTGTGTGTGTGTGTGCCTTCTCTGTTCTTTGCATTAGAACACATTGGCCCTACTCTTTACATGTCTGCACCCTTACCCCCCTTAAGTGACAGAAGAAGAGGAATTTCTGCCTTGGTATGAGAGGAGTCAGGATTGGCCATAGACCTTCCTGACTGACAGCAAGAGGCTTTTCCTCCTCTCTGGTCTTTTATTAATGGCATAGGTTATACACCTGTGCTCTCGTGACGCCTGAAGGAGGAACCAAGGCCAGAAGCTAGGCGCAAAGGCCCTCACCAGAAGGGCTAATTAAATAGTGTTTTCCCTTTGGGTCTTCAGCGACTCTGAGCAGCCATGAGCTCCTTCTGGCTTGGGTTGGAGGCACCTGTTCCTAAATATGTAGCGACTTCTCTTCTGGCATCTAATGAGTTCTGACTGACGACTGACTGTTCCCCAACTTGATTGTGGCCCTTTAAAGACCATCTTGCCCATAGAATTGGCAAGTTCATTTAATTGTCTGGGATTCAGGTAAAAATGCTTTGTTCTTTGTTCCCACATGACGTCATTTCAAAGTATCTCTTCTTCCAGAGATTGCCGAGGCTGTTCAATTTGGACCTTAAATTGCTTCTGTTTGAGCAGGCCTTTCAGTTTATACTGCAAAGGCAGCTCCTTTTGATTAGCCATTTA